AAGGAAACCAAAATTAAATGGCTCTACAGTAATATAGATTACCAATGTGGTTCCAGTGGCTTCTGTTTCACTTCCAACAATGGCCGCAAGCTGAGATTTGACGCTTGTAATTTCATTCTTCCTCTGTATGCGTTCTTCTTCAATTTTCTTTCTCAGCTCTTTGTCCACAGCATCTTCATCCAAGCCTCCTTTACCCTTCCCTGTCTATAAAAGGAAAAACAATAGTCAAAATAAAATCAAGTGGATAACATCATTAACCAGATTAAGTTTAACAAACCTTGAGATCACCCTCCACATCATCTAATCGTCTCTTTAGTTCCTGGTGCTTGAATTCCAGTTTGTCAATCCTTGTTAGGTGGTCTGAGCTCAGACCAACAGTAGGTTCTGAGTCACTGTTCCTTGGCTTTTCAAGCTGACAAAGAATAATACAGTATCATTAAATTATCATACATAAATTATTGAAATGTCCAAGTTGTGGCCTATATACTAAGGGTTTCCCAACCCAAGGTCTGCAGACCAGCATTAGTTTGCAGAAGTTTTTTTTACCAGTGTGCAGGTAATTTTATCCAGCATGATGAATTAAATAAAATTAGTTATCAAGTCTGTTATCTTGATCTGAAATTTAGGAAAAACAATGGCAATTGAAATTACCCAAAGAAAAATAAAAATTGTATATAAAAAAACACTTCAGGCCAATTTAAAAATGCTGAAATAAATAATTTTATTTTTTCCATTTTGAGAAACTTTTTTGAAGCACACCTTTCCAAATTTTTTGAAGACATTCCACTTAACCGCTCCAGTGTTTCTTGAATTAATTTTGGAAAAAAAGCAGCAACTTTTTATATGACAGCCATTAGGTCTTTCAAATATTTTTTTTTTAATCTGCAAAAACTTTATGAAACTTTGCTGGTCCTCAGAATTGCTTTCGAAAATTCGCAGGTTAGCAGGCCCAAAAAAGTTGGGAACACTGGCTTATAATGTACAGTACTGTACCATCATTTTGTGTCTGTCCAGAGTTTCCTGGTGGTGCTTGACTTTCACATCCAGAGTGGAAATCTGGTCCTTCATGTCGGCCATCTGCCTTGTGGTCTCTTCTCTGATACCCTCAACAGATTTCTTGTGCATGTCATGCATATTAGAGAGCTGAGATCCTGCAGCTTCCTCCAGGTCTCTGTTCTGCTGAGCATTAAGTTTCACACCTCCTGCTCCAATTGCTGCTTGGAGAGCTCCTAAGCCCTGTCTCATTCTGTCATTCATGTCTTCCACCTTGGCATCTGTTATCTGTTACACAGCTCAAACAATGATCAATCATGCAAATTACAGACAAAATGGTGGTTTTTTACCTGAGCAAACTTTTGCCTTTCNGAAAAAATATTCTTTGGGGATAAATTTATAGTTGATATTTCTTAATTGAAATGAAGATGCTGAGACCTCAACATGTCTGCGCAGTCCACTGATGTTTTCTTCACTATTAGCACCTGCTGCAGCCAAGCGCTTGTTGATTTCCTCTTTCATGCGCTTATCTTCATCAGCTTTGGCTGTGCTAATCCTGTCCAACTTTCCCTTGACTTCATCCAAATGCGACATCTCTTCTCGAAGCTTTGCATCTCTATGATGGGTCAAAAAAGGGAAAATAAGAAGCCATCTGGATACTTTATGAGGTACTTGTGTCATTTAAACTCAGTAAAATATGCTCCATTTTACTATAATTTCGAGAAAGTGAGATAAATTGCAAAAACCTGGCATCAATGAGCCTTCGCAGCTCTTGGTTAACAGCAGAGATCTGCATGACGATACGCTGTTTGTCCACATCTCCCATGTTGTAAGTTTCCTTGAGTAGCATTTCCATGCGTTGGTTCTGTTGTTCCCTCATCCTCTTGGTAGCACTGACTTCATTAATAAGCTGCTGCCATCTGAAGTTGAATATTTTAAATAACCCATTGTGTCCATTTTGTATCACATGAGAGGTTCGCACGATTTACCTTTGATTATTTTGATTCTCCATCATTTCCCTGGCATTCTTCTCCATCTGGATCTTGTTGTCCAGGTCCAGAATGAACTGGTTCAGTTGCATAAGTCTGCAAGTGTTATAAAAGCAAAAGCATAACCATTTGTTAGGCATTTTCAAAATGGAAAAATTTCAGCAGTTAAAAAATCTTGTGGCAATTCAAGTTATTTTTTTAGCAAGAAAGTTGATCTCAAGAAATTCCACATAACTCATCAGTGCATGTGACTGCTGTTACTCTGAATATTTAGTCTTATACAGTAGTTAAGTTAGGGTTGACTATAAGGGAAAACTTTTTAAATTACTTTCAGTCATAAATACTGTATATAGGTACAATGCATAATACAATTTAAAATCACAAGAGCCCAGGAGTTTTATTGGAACATTTAGGAGATCATTCACTTAGGTATGCTTAGTATATTACAGTAATTGTGATTGAGAATAGTAAGAAAACTCACTTGGAGTCATTCATTGGATTGCTGGCAGCATTTGGAGTAAGTGCCCCTGAATCCCTCTTCAGCATCTGAAAATTTAAAATAAAATGAATATTGACAACAGGAATGAAGACAAGAATTCATCAGCAGTAATGGAGGAGACACTTACTGGATTAACACCAAGCAGAGTTCCTTTGAGCTGAGCAATTTCAGCATTGGATGAAGCTATTTGATGGGCATACTGCTGAGTCTCATCCCTCAGACTCAACATGAGCCTCTCCAACTGCTCTCTTGCTCTATTACACGAGTCAATCTCCATTTTCAGCTCATTCATTCTGCAAAAATGATGATCATAAATTGATTGATGTTTTTTGTTTGCATTATCATAGTCAATTATTGATCCTTAAGAATTTATACAAAATCAATCACTTGAGTAGTATTAAAAAATAAAATGCATTTTACTTTCCTTAAAACTCAGCATTCTTTACTTCAAGACAACTGTAAGTTGGACATATGGTTTTCTTTGCATGCCATGTGGAATACCATATGCACTCAAGTACCACAAGTTATCAATTCAACCAATTATCAATTGTTTCCATTAGAATCGAACACAGTATATTGAAATGATCAACAAAACTTATAAACTTCTCAAAAAATTATCCCTTCCTATATGGCATGCATCCCTCTATTTTCCTCTCAAATTTGAGTGAATAGGGTGCACATGGTACTGGAATAAATATGTTATTAGCAAGACTTTTTCATTGAAAGAAATTTTTCCAAAGAGTTCATACTGTATTCTCTTTTTTTCAGTCAATAGCAGAATAAAAAAGTTTTATCATTTCATAGCTTATTCTTTATTTTGTAAGCAGCAGTTGAGACTATAAACAAAAAATATATATTCCAACAGACCAGCATATTACAGTATTACATTCATCATCCAGCATTGAAAGTACAATAAAGTGCTTGAAAAAAAAAAAGTTCAATCACAGCATGGTGTTTTGTGTTCCAGCAAACAAAGGATTGTTTACCTCTGTATTTGCTGGTCTCTCCTGGTCAACATGTCCTGCTGCCCAGTGGTCACAACCTTCTCAATGTTGCGGGTATGGCCCAAGAGCTGGCCAATGGCATCTGAGCTTTGGCGGGCCAGGGCTTCTGCCCTGCCCACCCTGGAATCAAGGTCTGCTGCCTGCACCTGCACCTGTCTAAGCA